CAGGCTTCGAGACACCTTGGCGAAAGGTTTATGCATGCGAACAGATTATTCTGGTTTGGGTGGGCCCGAAGAAGCACTCGGCCAGATCTTCAAAGCACTTGGCACCAGCGAAGCATCTCAGTTCACGTGTCAGCGAAGTGGTGATCTGTTGCAATGTGCACGTGATCTCTTGAAATCCCGGCAGGGCTTTTCAATGCCTTCTTGTGTCCATGGGAACATTCTGGAGCGATTTCCTGAGGACTTGTTGGTGCAACTGGAAGCTCGGCGTCTCATGTACTTGCAGCAAGCCAATGCAGCCCATGGTGTTGTTGATTCCCCGTCCAGGCGGACGAGACACCCTCGACATGGCAAAGTTGAGGAGCTTGGCAGCTTGTTCATCCAGGAAGCGTTTGATGCTGTTCTGAACCGTTTGCAGACGGCTGATCTGTCGCAGCACTGTGCCCATTGCGAGGTCCATGGTCGTGACTGCCCCGTCTTCCCAGAGCCACCCGAGGGTTTCGCAGTTTCGCAGGGCTCACATGCAGCGTGGCCGGCATCAGTTGCTTTGACTTTTCCAACATGGCCGTTACTCACCGATTCCTTGGAGAATCGGCTCTTGCTTTTGTCATTTGGGCCGTCGAGCGTCGCCTTGCAGACGAAGATTTTTCATAGCAGAAAACGTGCCGGCCTTTGATGATGCGATTCTCGCCCAGCTTATGCATGGCGTGTACAACATGGTTTGCTTGCGGGTTTGCACCACATGTTTCGGTCTCCCGATTGCTTTTTGTGCTTGCTCAAAACTGTTTTACATTTCTGTTTTAACGCATGATGTTTCATCCTTGATGCTCATCTAGCCGCAAAGATGCTCGAGCAGAGAAAGGTCAAGAAAGGCATCATGCATGTCTGTGAGCTTTTCTGGGTTGTCGACGACGACTCATGAGTCTTGGTCATCTTTACGTAAGACAGTACTTACATTTACTTTCCATTGAACTTGCTTTGTAGTGAGTTGGCATCCTCAAGGGGGCGTCGCATGGCGGAGCCTTCGTTCGGTGCAGCAAGCCCGGCCAGTGATCCTCCGAGTTCGTCGGTTAGCACAGTATCAGTTATCTCTCGCCACGTGTTTGACTTGCAGATTCAGTTGAATCATTTGCGGGAGCAGAATCAGATCTTAACCGATACGCAAGCATATCTTGAGGAAAGGATCCAGTCACTTGAGTCCTCGCGCGAGGTTTCAGAACGACGCCTTACTTGGTTGGAGCAGTTCATACAACATCTGCGTTCGATTTTTAGCCAGCTTCGAGACAACTTTTGATTTCATGGCACTTGTTTTGCTTGAAAAGGCGTTGCAGGCTAGGCAACACGCAGCTCCAGCTGCAAATGTTCTCGCGGTGCCAGCCGATTGCATTAGCAGCATTAGCAGGGAGCATTCACAGGTGGCGGCTCCATTGCCAGTTGTGCCTGAATCACAGGGCAGTGCTACCACGCCTTGGGCTCGGCGTGCTGCTCGTCTTCTCAAGCGTGACACTTCTGCTCTTGAGGCTGTTTCCATAGCGGATTCAAATGAGGTAGATCAGGCCGCACTCGTGCCTGCTGCGGTGCCAAGTGTGTCTTCATTTGATTTGGATTCCTTCGAATGGGTCTTTTCTGATGAAGTACTGCCACCTGAGCGCATTTTCTCCAGTAAGGGTTTATGGGTTTCGGATAAGCCTGCACCCCGTCCCGTGCTCATGCAACCCTTGAAGCGCACAAGGATTCCTGGGCCGGCCCAGGCTGTACGTCCCACTAGTTTAGCATCCCCTCGGCCGTGTATGCGGCCGACAATGTTGCATCACGTTAGTATGGAAGGCCTCGGGTTTAGTCCTGCTCCCCGTCCCACGATGCATGCATCACCGACATCCAGGTCCTTGTTCCATCGCGAGCTTTCGGTTGCAGCAGATCCCCAGCCTCAGGACAACGCATTTGTCAGGCCGACATGTAAGCGCGCTGTTCGCCCGCCTCAGCAGCACTCATTTCTTGAGGTCCCAGCGGGACGTGAGGCATCGAGCAGTGGCAGCCTTCATGCAGGTACGAATTTTAGACCTACTAAGGGCAGTGGGACTGTGGAGTTTGCGGTGCAGCATGATGCCAAGAAGCTTCAGTTGGCTCAGGCTCTATGGTCGGAGCTCAAGCCGATTTTGTTGGAACACTCTGATGTGCTGAGTCAGATGTCATGCTCCACGAATGAGTTTGTGCTTACTGAAAAGTTTTTCAACACTTTGGCCCCTTTCACACTCTTGCGGTACATGACGGCGGTCTTAGCGGTTTTTAGGACAGGGTTCGAGCTTGATTTGCCAGCGATTGATCAGCTTAATCAGGCGCATTTGGTTGATATGCTTTGGGCGACCCACCGGGGGCACTCAGCGGCTGACTTTCAGCCCGTCAACACCATCAAAGCCCTTCGCTGGTTCCGTCGCATGCTCAATTTGCCTCTTCCTGATCTTTAAATGGGCTCGTGGCCATGCTGCTGGCCTCTCGAGTTCAACCGCATAGAGAATCGTACCCGGCTCCTATCAGACTGCTGTCCTATTGCGAGGTAATGCTCTTGGAGGCTCAGATGTCTTTGCAGGACAGATGTCACGCGGGTGCTTTGCTCTTGTGTGCACACGCCTCCTTGAGGTGGTCGGATTCCCAGCGCATTCGCTGGTCATCTTTCGAAGTGTGTTCCGATTGCCTTAGGGCCGAAGCCTATAAGACCAAAACCACGCGCAGGGGCATGCCTCTGGCAGCGGGGGTTATGGGGTTTCATGGTACTGCTGGTTTTTTGGAGTTCACTTGGGTTTCAGCTTGGCTAGTTGCACTTGGTGATGTATGGCATCGACTGCGCGTCATGCATGGCGACAGCATTGATCCCGACTGTGTTTGGTTTCGTTTTGACGCGGAGACAAGGGATTTCGCGCCCTTATCCTACGCACAGTCGCTGCGAGTGCTGCGCTCTTGGTGCGTGGCATCCGGTGCTTGCGCCTCTGGGGCGGAGTCAGTCTTCACTTTGCACTCCTTGAAGTCGGCTTTGCTGTATCTGATGCACCTTCGTGCAGTGGGGAAGGAGGACAGGCTCTCAGCGGGGCATCATCGCCTCGACAGCGCTGCCTTGTATAGCAGATCAGACACCGTGGGGGCGCTCAGAGCTCAGGCTGTTGTCTGCACAGCAGTACGGGCCGGATGGCTGCCTCCCGCCCCGCAGAAGCGGGGGGCAGCTCATTCGATTCCTCAGCAACCGTTGTGCACCTTACAAGCCGTCCCGCCTTCTTTTGAGGTTCCGCCTATCTTTGGTCCAGTGCATGTTTCAGTACCTGAGCATGCAGCAGGCACGCATGTGCCCGCCGTGGCTGTCGAGCCTGCACTGGTTCCGCAGGCCGGGATAGCCGCGGAGGCTTCGCAGGCGGATGATAATGCATTCTCGACCGAGCATGCATTGGTGTCTTCAGATTCAAAATCAGAAGCAGAATCTTTGGGCGCTCCCGTTGAGTTTGGTTACTTGGTAAGCGGATCAGGAGTCATGCATGTGGCCATGCCTTCATCGAATGGCACTCCTTGCAAGGCAGGTCTCGTGCGTCCGGCATGTGGCACGTTGTGCAAGAATCTTAAGCTGTCCATGTCTTTCGCACCCGGGTCCAGGCTATGCCGTCATCCAGCTTGCCATAAAATTTTTGCATCGGCCGGCTAACAAGCTGCTTCAGTTGTGCACACAGCGTTGCCCTGGGGTTTTTGGCTTTTTTCAGCTGGCTATGAGATAAGTGGGTTGCCAGAGTCGGCACGGTATCAGTGGTGGGGGCTCGGGCCCTGGACACCTTCGGGGCGGTATGCCCGTCTGCTAGCCTGTCTTGGGCTGTGGCATACAGCCGGTGGGGGCATTGCCCTGGACACCGCGCTGGGGTTTCGGGTGGCATTTCTGGTGGGGACAGAAGTCCTGGACACCAGTGGTGGGGACTGAAGTCCTGGACACCAGCCTCGTTTCAAAGATCATGTGTGCCGAATCGGAGTAACTCCTTGGTTGCGTGCTCATAAGGCGTTGCAACGCTTGTTGCTGGTAGTTTTGTCGAAGTTTTGATCTCTGGGCTATCGGACATGCCAAAAGAATGCTGTATGCATGGTGGTCGTTCAAGGCAGTCGATGTGGGCAGCTGCCATTTCTCATGCGGTAGGTGTCTCAGGTCAGTTGCATGTGCTGCGAGTGACTGTTGTTCAATGGACACCAACAGGAAGGTTGTCGGCTCAGCTGGTCATGGTAGGACATGTCGTGTTCTTTCAAGTCATGTCACGAATTTTCTTATATAACTGGTGTGCGCGTGCCGAGTTTATTGCGTTCTATTGCGATTATCTTCCATGTACCGGTAAAGACACTCTCTAGGCAGGATCATGGCGTTGTCAGAACCCAACCCCTTGTTGGCTCTCTCAGAGGAAGCCACTGAACAGGCGAGGCCGATGCGGGCCTTATTGGAAGGCTCGGGCATCCCGGAGTCTCTTTGGAAGGATGTGGCAATGTTTGCCCCAGATGAGTTCGGGTCTCTTTCTGATGCAGAAATTCAGGAATTCTTAGATGGCCTCACGTACCCAGCTGAGCCATCCGATCTGTTGGTGAAGGCCAGGATTCGCCTCTTGTGGCGGAAATGCCAAAAGTCGGGGGCACCCTTGCAACCCGATCCTCCCAAGCCCAATCCCGTGGGGAGCACAGGTGCTCTTGCCGATCAGGCTTCATGGTCTGAGGCATTCCCAAAGCGTCTCAGTGGCGAGGCAGCCCGCCAAATGATCAAGGCTTTCAGTGAGAAGTACCCTTCTGAACCATTAAGCCCCGAGATAATGCCATCACCATGACTTTTGTCATTGGTTCATCAGCAATTGCAGGACAGGCGTTGGCGATGGATACCGTGGAAGTTGCGGTTGTCCGAAGAACAATATGACTCTAAGTCTCTTGAGCGTTCCCTTAAGGCACCACGGCTTGAAAATCTGTTATGGGAAGAGATACCCAGTAGAGAGTTGCCCAAGGAGGGCATGGCCAAGAGTGTTATGGCAGAACTGCTTCATTTGCAGGCAGTGGCGATTGCGTTAGCAGACGGCGCCCACCTCTACACCCTGCGGGAGATGAACCGGAAATTTCTTGTCAAGTGTTTCGATCACTTACCTCGGGATGGGGGGTTGAGAGTGCCGAACAGATTGGAGGCCGAGAATGCAGAGAAACAGCTTTGGCAACAGATCGCGGTCTTGTTCAATGAAGAGAACTGGACAATGGATCAGGCGATACGCGAGGTTGTCGTGGCTCGCAACGAGATTCACGTTTTGCTCATGCCGAGGGCCGTCGCGCCTAAAATTCCGTGGCAACCGTGGACACCGCATCGCATCAAAGGCGATGGCAAGCAGGGGACCCACGGCAAGGGCGGCAAAGGGGATAAGGGCACTAAGGGCGGTTCTAAGGATGGTAAAGGTTCCCAGCGTCATACCTTGATGATCAATGGCCTGCGAGTGGGTACCTCGTGGATGCAAGGCAAGAACAAACGCCTTCTGTGTTCCGGGTTTCAGCAGGGCAAGTGTACTCGCGATCAGTGCAAGTTCGAACATGTGTGTGGTGTGATTTTGCCAAACAATCGCATGTGTCTCGGGGATCACAGTCCGGCAGAGCACAAGCAAACGCCCCACCGACAGGCGGGGTGCATGTCTCAGCCCCTGGTGTCGCCCCAATCGGGCGTTATTCTTGCGGACGCAGACATGTCGGTCTTACATGCGGCTGAGGCATGTGAACCCATGCACACTGGCCATACTGTTTGCTTTGAGCCACAATCTGATGCTGAGGAATCCAATCTTGGTTTCTCTGGTTTTCCACAATGTGATTCGTCAGGTAGCGCCCTGACCATGTTTTCTGAAGTCCCACCGGTGCCCGCAGCAGTGTATGCTCCGAGCTCTGTGTCGAATGCCGCATGTGCCGCAGTGGCAGACCCGTCGTCAGCCGTTTCAGCCGCATGTGACACAATCTTGAACATTTTGCAATCCGTGGATTGGCCGCCGTGCCATACAGCAAGGGCTGTGTTGCAACCGCGTGAACACGATGGCACCGGTTATTGGAATTTTGGGGTTAGGCCCTCAGAACCCACAGTCCTTACTTCTATCACCCAAGATAAACCCGAAATAGTTCGCCGTTTGGTTCTTTGGCCGGATCAATTTTGGAATGCGATTTGTATAAATCTCACCCGCGCAGCTAGCCTTCACCAGGACTTAGCAAACAGTGCGGGCTCCATGAATTTGAATGTCTCCGTTGGGGACTTTCAGGGGGGTGCATTGTGGCTGGAGTCAGCAACAGGCACTTTATGGCGCCAGCCACCAGGCAGCCAGCACTGGATCAAGGGCGAAGAAGTTCAGACATTTCGGAATCCCGTTACTTTTCCAGCTTGTGCCTGGCATGAAACGATGCCATTTGTGGGTAATAGATGGTCTATCACTTGTTACACGTTGCCCCATGTGCTGGAGGGAACGTTAGCCAAACTTGGTTTTCCGGAGGTATCTCCGGCGCAACTTCCTCATGTATCGCAGACACAGGAGTCAGTTGCCACATCAGCGGTTACTTCCACCGCGCCAATCTCAGCCTTGCCACCGGTGGTGGCCACACAGCAGCGCCCTCTTTTCTTTTTGGATCTTTTCGCTGGTGCAGGTGCACCACTTTGTCAGGAGGCCGCACGTCGGGGTTGGGCGTGTATTCCCATAGATATTCTACATAACAAGGCATCAGACTTACGCGATGATCGCATCTTCGATGGTCTCTTGAAGCGTTTGCAAATGCATCACCTCCTTGCTGCGGATACAGCATTGTGAAGCAGTTCGATGGCGGACCGCCACCATGCCGCTCATGGGAATGCTTGGGAGGCTTTCCATCCAATAATGCTGAAGCCCAGGAGCGTGTTCAGTCCAGCCACCTTCTGTTGTCTCGGGCAGTCATGCTTCTGCACGCTGTGTTTCAGAGTGGTAATCACGTAAGCTTAGAACAACCTCGTAACTCTATGGCTTGGGCCGAGCCCGTGACCCAGGCCTTCTTGCTGGAAATTGCGGCGGATGTGATTCAGGTTGCCGCTTGCAGCTATGGTTCGAGCTATGCAAAGTACTGGGCCTTCGCCACAAGTTGGCGACCTTTACAGCAGTTGCAAAGCACTTGCCAGCACGCGGCGGGTCATCATGATGTCTTTCACGGCAAACGTGACGCCACAGGCCAGTTCGTGTCTCGGCACACAGCGGTGTTCCCTCCCATGCTGTGCAATGCGTTCATGCAGGCCATTAGCCCCTTGTTTCCAGCGAGTACGCAAGTTACCAGCTTCACATCATTGGATCAGGCACTTTCGGCCATGCCGGTGCGCCCCTTGAACGATTTCCCGACTGGCCAACAGGATGGCGGCGGTATCTACAGCCAGCCCGACTGGACGTCTCCTCCGGCGGGACAAAAGGACACCTTCCGCCAGTTGCGCCAAGATATGTGGGGTTTTTTCAAAGAGCATAAACTTTTTGATCGCCTTCGCAAACATGTCAGCGAGTCATCGCAAGAGCCGCTCATTCAGCAGCATGAGCTCCCGGCATTGCGAGCAATTTGGGAAGCTTGGTTTAAAGCTCAGGGTTTCGCGGATTCAATTTCATGGGAGGTCGCGCCCGACCAGCCTTACTGTCTTCAGGCCCTTGAGCTTCTGAGCAAGGCTCTTGACGACCGTGATGTGGAGCTTTGGAAGGATTTGCAGGCTGGGGTACCAACAGGTGTTGATGGTGACATCTCTATGAGCAATTGTTTCTTGCCTTCCCCAGCGAATTTCAATCCAGACGATTTTGATGTACAAGTGTGTTCGGGCAACTGGCCCGGGGCCAATGAGGAGCCAGAATTGCTGGCAGAACTTGTGCAAAAAGAGGTGGACAAGGGATACGTGCACGTCTTCGATTCTCTCGAAGAGGCCCAAGCCAAGTGGTCCCGGGTCGCTGTAGGCAAAGTAAATGTAGTGAAAAGTGGTTCTAGAGATCCTCGGTTAATTGTCGACCCATCGGTCAGTGGGGTTAACCCTAGCTGCCACCTGCCTGAGCGCTTTCTTCTCCCCGGTCTCGGGGACATCAGGGCTGTGTATCCCCTCAGGGGTGTGTCGGGCTGTATAGCCGCATGCACGTTAGACATACAGGCCGCCCACAAAACCGTTCGGATTCGGGCGAGTGAACAAGGATTGCTTGGATTTTCCGTGAACGGCAAATACTATTTTTATAAAGTGGCACCATTTGGAGGTTCTTTTTCAGCGTTGTGGTGGCAACGCGTAGCGGGCTTTTATGTTCGCACCGGCCATCGCCTGATCTTCATCAGCCACGTCCTACTTATGTACGTGGACGACGCTTTACTCCTTCAGCACAGTTCGGCCATCGAGTTTTCTGCGCTCTTGATGGTGGCATTGTCACAATCGTTTGGCTACCCGATCAGTTGGCGTAAGCTCCAGCTGGGGCCCAAGCTGGAATACATTGGGTGGCGGATTAATTTCCGTGCAGGGACGTTTTGTCTGCCTGATTCTAAGGTGGCCAAACTTTTGCAAAGCCTGATGCAAGTGCTCCGGTCCGATCCTTGCACCAAGCGTGATTTGCAGGCTCTTATCGGTCTCCTTCACTGGGTGTTGCAGATGTCGCCCGAGTTGCTACCGTGGCTGTGCTGCTTGTATCACGACATGTCTCGTCCCTTGGGCACAAATTTTTCCTTGCATGCAGGTGCCTGGCAACAGTTAGCAGATACCTTGACTGATGATTTGCATTTCCGCAAATCGCCGCCAGGGTCGACCATCCCCCCGGGGAGCAAATTGCTGAGTGCACGCCATGTGGAAATCAAGTGCAAAGCGGATTTGCGTCTGGTTAGGGCCACAGGCAAGCGGGTCTGGATTCGTGTGGCGGATGCATCATCCAGCAAGCGTCGGATCAGCACGGTGAGCAGACAGTTCATCATGTTCTGGGTTCACTTTTGCATGCGACCTCAGATGCCCCGTTGCTTGTCTTTGCCACCTTTGGACTTTCAGTATTCTTTAGCTGCTGACGCTTGTGCTAAAGGCAACGACATTGGGATTGGCGGATGGGTTGAATTGCCGAATCAGCCCATCGTCTGGTTCTCCGAGTGGTTTACGGTCCAAGACTTCCGTTCCCTGGGCTTGCCCATGAAAGATGATGCTAATTTGGACATCACGGCGTATGAGACGCTGGCACAACTGGCTCTCTTGATAGCTTTCATTTCCATCACTCCTACCGGGCGACTTCGGGTGTGCATCCCATCTTGGTCGGATAACTCGGGGACCGAGTCCTTGACGAACAAGCTTTTCACAGTGCATGCACCACTCTGCTTCTTCGCTCAGAAACTGGCCACGCGTAGTTGGCAGTCTGGCATCTCGCTCGATTGTACACACATCGCGGGATGTCACAACGATAGCGCTGACTTCTTGAGTAGATGGAAAGGCGACTTGCAGGAACTCCCTTCCCGGTTCCACTTGGATCATCGGGTTCGATGCCCACTCACAGTCTTGTGGGAGGGGGAGCGTGATGTTCGGGTTTTCCCGCCAGATGCTAAGCTGCTATGGCAGCCGCCTGTATCGTCCTTGAATGCACAAAGCGCTTAAGCACACGGCGTCGGGCAGGTTCAACATCTCACGGTGCGCGGTCGGCCTAGCCTTCCCCCGTGGGCTCTTGGGGTTCCTGCAACACCGGTGTTGTTGTGCATCATCGTCGGGGTTCGACACTCACGGCGCGCGGTCGGCTTGCCTTCCCCCGTGAGCACATGCGTTCCCCTGAGGGCGGTGTTGAGAGATGCAGGGCATGCATCAATGAATGCGGCAGGCATGAGTTGCTGGCAGTTAGATGCACGGATAGCATACGCAAGGCGTCATTGCAAGTTGAGTACTGTGTGCTAATAATGTTTCTGTCGCGTGTCTTCAACCGAATGTGGTGACGCTTTTTCGGGCGTAACGCCCACTCAGGCTCAGTCGGCCTCACGTTTCGGTAGTGGGAGTGCAGAGCTTGCGAGTCCGACCTCTCCTTTGTGGCAGTTTACGGTTCTGGTGTTCGTACACATTCTTGCATCTGCATTTGACATTCTGCTGCTGCACGAAGTGTCTTACCGCCAAAAAGGAGAGGATCGAACTGCAATGTGATACACGTGATGTGAATATGTTTATATATGAATTATAGAAATTTGCGAGTGTATACTTTGCGGCTAGTTGGAAATGTAGAACGCTTTTTGTGCTTGCTCAAAACTGTTTTACATTTCTGTTCTAACGCATGATGTTTCATCCTTGATGCTCATCTAGCCGCAAAGATGCTCGAGCAGAGAAAGGTCAAGAAAGGCCCCGCCCGCCCGCCCTGTGTGGTGTGGCATTTAGCTTTGTGCATGCCTTACGGTGCATAGTCAAGACATCGGTGCATTGTACATTCTCTGTACATTGAAGTGCGGATATTGAATGCATACGACTTCCGGCGTACATCCTGTGGTATCTTTGGCTTTCTCAATACTTGTTTTATGGTCTTTGCATTTGGTACTCTTACACTTCTGCAGCCGGTGTTCGTACACATTCTTGCATCTGCATTTGACATTCTGCTGCTGCACGAAGTGTCTTACCGCCAAAAAGGAGAGGATCGAACTGCAATGTGATACACGTGATGTGAATATGTTTATATATGAATTATAGAAATTTGCGAGTGTATACTTTGCAGCTAGTTGGAAATGTAGAACGCCCGGGATCGAAAGTACATGGTGTTTCTTTCGAAGCGGTTGATGTGGATACCTGAAGTTGCCACTGTGGGCCATGAAGCAGCCTTTCGAAGGCTTTTCATGCGACAAGTCATGTTGCATGCTGATGAGATGTTGCGGAGTCCACAGGAAGTGCTTGATAGATAGACATGTTGAGAAGCTTGCGATATTGCGAAAACTGCCGACTCGTGCTGCAGATGGCCAGCCATGGAGTTGTTATCTGGCCATGAGCAGAACACTTCAGCATGCAGTGCAGGAACATGATCAGGCGTTGAAATCCTGTCATTTTTCTGATCGCTCACCGGTGCTCGCAAACATTTCCCAGCGGGCAGAACACATGGGACCGGCCACTTCAGGCTATGTCCCGACTCTGCTCAGGAAGAGCGTGATATGGTCGTTTCGCTTGCGGCGGCTCGTCACAGCTACAGAACTTTTGGAGTTTCAAGGGTGCAACATGTTCGGTGACCTTCAGCTTCGAACAAGCCTGCATCAGGCCTTGCAAGACGTGCCACCCACCAGCCGGACTAGTCTGGCCGGCAATGCTATGCACATTCAGTCCGTAGGATCCGTGCTGCTATTCACGATGGCGTGCACGATGCGTGCATGAGACGATCAGGCCGAGATTTTCTGTCGCTCTGCCAAAAAGCCCAGGGCGTATCAACTTATCATCACGTCAACCTTTCAACTTCAGGAGTGGGCTGCGGCTGCACCCAATATCGATCGAGAAGTGCATTTAGTTCAGAGTTTTCAACAGCCCAAACCCAAACCCACTCAACAAAATCCTGCACTACACCAGCTTCGGGGATCGCTGCTTGAGAGGTGGGATGATGGTGAGGGTCCGGCTACTGTAACGTTTGATGTTGGTGAAGGTGGTGGCGGTGGTTTGGCGTGGCGGTGATGCGAGGAGGTGGCGGGCGGTGCTAGAGGTGTAATGATGACTGTAAGGTATTTTCGGATCAAGCCACAACGTGTGGGATCAAACCACAGATGCACAAGTGATCCAGGAGTCTTCGAAGCCGTGAAACCAAAAAAACTTTAAAACATACTTTGCACACCCAAACCCTAAGCCCTGAACGTCCCAAATACCCTACACCACCCAACCCTGAACCCTAAAAACCATAAACCACGGCTCAAACCAGGCTCAAACGGCTCAAACTGGCTCAAACGCTCCCAGTCTTGGCTGCCAAGAAGCGAAATCGCAAGCCGTGACTCGAAAAGCGGTCAAATCATACACAAGCACTCAAAGGCCGCCAAACCCCCGTGGAGGGCACGTCCCGTAAGCTTCCACGAAATCTAACACAGTTGCGTTTGCAGCCTGCAGGACTTGTAGCGGGCGCTTTAGCACGTGTCCGCCAGTGGAACCAGCTTAATGGCTACGACATTCGGGCTGCCCTGGCGGTTTGGCTGCCAGGTCCAAAAAACAAATCAGTCTCTGGTATCCTGAGCGTTTTTACCTGCTCGGACATCACTGTTTTGATGGCCGCAGTGCGGAAATCGTGCGACGTGACTTTGCGGACATTGCGGTGACGCGTGCGCTATATGAGCCATATATTTTGGGCGCCAACCTCCCCTTCGAAGAATGGATGCAGGCCGCCAGGAGCTTTCGGGAGCAGGGTGGTTTGGCTGACGGCCTGCGCTATCCGTTTCTGGGCTACAGGCTTGTTCCCGCATACCACACCACCTCTACGCCTCTATTTTTCATCAGGCCGCAGCTGGTGGGACGCTATTCGCGCAGGGAGTGGGCCTTCTTGTATGTCTGAATGACGAGCACATGGCGGACGCAGCAGACTGGCGGCGCTTCCTGCACGGTACGTGTTCCGGACGTACGCATTCTCCCCCAGGCCTGGGGTTCCACCCCCTTGGAAGGCTCGCCCTGGCCATTCGGCCGTGAGGCTGCAGCACTGGTGCACCCCGTTGGGATGCTTGCCTTGGCCTCCGGCCATGCAGCTTGAGCGACGGTTTGTTTGGGTCGATGATGATTTGACACGGGCTCTCGGGTCTGCCTTTCTCGCGCACCTGCCGTAAGCCTCAAGCATCATTGACTGAGCAGGACGCCCGGCTTGGTTCCCTTTTTCCGCTCAACTCTTCGCCTATCGGAGACGCTATCCGCCCACTGCCAGTGGCAATGTGACAATGCATATGTCGGCCATTGCGCGAACCTTGGTTACGGGAAGCGGGGCCATGTTTTATTTTTGCCATGGTGCAACCCAGCTTGCGGGGAGCGGGGCCAGTGAGCGAATAGGCCCGGATGCATCTTAATTCATGCTGAACGACTTCGCCGGCTAAGTCTGTATGTCGCAGCCTTTCGTTTCATTTTGTACAGTTGTTAGTTATATTTATTTCTCTCTAGTTGTTGATTATTGGGACCGAGCGCAGCAGCCGCTGTCGAGACCCGCTCACGCCAAAACAAAATCGCGGGTGGGGCACGCAGGACCTCACTACTGTGTTTTATGAAAAGCTCTTGCCTGTCAACCTGTTTAAGGGGGCATCTTCGCACTATGTAGATGGCAGAGCCACAAACGTGTAGATTTCAGGCTACATCAGGCTACAAACTGTGGTTTTCCCACATCAAAGGCGTTTAGGACAGAAAAGGCAGTTAGCGAATCGAAATCGTGGAATCAAACCCGGAACTCCATGCTTTGAAAGGTTTCAGAACTCAGAATACTGATGGAGTTGGGCGAAAGATAGGCTTCGAAATGAACCTTCACTTTGCACGATCTTATCTTGTCTGCGGCCAACTTTGGCAGGCATACAATGTAATCTGTGTCTACATCTATCATCATGTATCTTCAATCTTCAACAGCACTCATGAAATAAATTGATTGGAGCGAGATTTTGCCCGTAGGCAATGATTTTTTCAGATGTGATTCTGGCTTTGTAAACACACTCTGAGATTCATGTATCATTACTTTTCTATTGTCGTTCACGTTTCGACATGATCGCGACCAAATGCAAGACCGAGCAGATTGTGTGTGTTGTGTGTGTTGTTTATACGGTGTGTTGTGTGTGTTGTGTGTGTTGTGTGTTGTGTGTGTTGTTTATACGGTGTGTTGTGTGTGTTGTGTGTGTTGTGTGTTGTGTGTGTTGTGAGTGTTGTGTGTGTTGTGTGTGTGTGTTGTGTGTGTTGTGTGTGTTGTGTGTTGTGTGTGTTGTGAGTGTTGTTTGTGTTGTGTGTGTGTTGTGTGTGTTGTGTGTGTGTTGTGTGTGTGTGTTGTGAGTGTTGTGTGTGTTGTGTGTGTTGTGTGTGTTGTGTGTGTGTGTGTGTTGTGTGTGTTGTGTGTGTTCTGTGTGTTGTGTGTGTTGTGCGTGTTGTTTGTACGGTGTGTTGTGTGTTGTGTGTGTTGTGTGTGTTGTGTGTGTTGTGTGTGTTGTGAGTGTTGTGTGTGTGTTGTGTGTGTGTTGTGTGTGTTGTGTGTGTTGTGTGTGTTGTGTGTGTTGTGTGTGTTGTGTGTGTTGTGTGTGTGTGTGTTGTGTGTGTGTTGTGTCTGTTGCGTGTGTGTTGTGTGTGTTGTGTGTGTTGTGTGTGTTGTGTGTGTTGTGTGTGTTGTGTGTGTTGTGTGTTGTGTGTGTGTTGTGTGTGGTGTGTGTGTTGTGTGTGTTGTGTGTGTGTGTTGTGTGTGTGTGTGTTGTGTGTGTGTGTGTTTGTTGTGTGTGTTGTGTGGTGTGTTGTGTGGTGTGTTGTGTGGTGTGTTGTGTGGTGTGTTGTGTGGTGTGTTGTGTGGTGTGTTGTGTGGTGTGTTGTGTGGTGTGTTGGGTGTTGTGTTGTGTGTTGTGTTGTGGGTTGTGTTGTGTTGTGTGTTGTGTGGTGTGTTGTGGTGTTGCGTGGTGTGTTGTGTGGTGTGTTGTGTGGTGTGGTGTGTGGTGTGTTGTGTGTTGTGTGGTGTGTTGTGTGGTGTGTTGTGTGGTGTGTTGTGGTGTTGTGTGGTGTGTTGTGTGGTGTGTTGTGTGGTGTGGTGTGTGGTGTGTTGTGTGTTGTGTGGTGTGTTGTGTGGTGTGTTGTGTGGTGTGTTGTGTGGTGTGTTGTGTGGTGTGTTGTGTGGTGTGTTGTGTGGTGTGTTGTGTGGTGTGTTGGGTGTTGTGTTGTGTGTTGTGTTGTGGGTTGTGTTGTGTTGTGTGTTGTGTTTTGTGTTGTGTTGTGTGTTGTGTTGTGTTGTGTGTTGTGTTTGGTGTTCGGCTGTGTTTCAATGTGTGTTACAAAATCATATGCCAATGATTTTTGTGTTGGTTCAATGCCGCCCAAAATTGTTTGTTAATATCCATGAATCCATGAGGCATATTTTCTTGTAAAAAATTCGTTTTAAAGTTCCCCGTTCCTGAAAAAGAATTTCTCCTTAAAATTATGCCTTCACTTAATTGCGGCCATTGCGCAACTTGTTTCAGGGCTTGAGCGGGGCCTTCGATCATAGAGCTGAACGACCATTGCCGGCTTAGTCTGCACGTCGCCGCTTCTTGTTTCACCGCTTTCTTGATTGTACAGTTTCTTTGTTTTGCGCCTTGTATGTTAGCTTCTTGTCGACGAGGCCTGTTCATGCCAAAAAAAAGGTGCTGCGCCTGCCCGACTCGTTCGAGTAGCTGCATCGCCTTGGCTTGGCTCATGCCTTCCTTGCGGCTCGCCTTCAACATCTGTAACGTGCCATTCGTGGACACCGTGCCCCCCTCAAAGCCTCTCCAGCAGCAGTGTAAGGCACGGAGATGCTTCGATCGTTGGACCTCGATGGTGCTCTTTGCCTTCGGCGGCTTTGCACTTCGGTGGGCGCAGTTGTCGGGCGCTTTATTGAGCGGCTCTTTCCCTCGAGGTTTTTGGAATTGGGGCCGTATTCCCACTTTTCACCGTCTTCATGCTTCCTGCAATTTGGTTGTGACTTTTGCCCAATGCGCACGGACGCCGCTCACACCTTTTCTCGGTTTATCCGCTGCGGAGGGCCGATGCAATGGACTTTTGGGATTTAGTGTGCGCAGTGGCGACGGAACGGTTTTAAGGGGCTGAACGTTGTCTGACGGGACGAGAACGGCTGCCAGAGTCTTGACTTGGACTGTACTCGTGTACCGGGCGGTCTAGAGCGACGGCTCTTCTCTGCTCCAGACCTGCCTCAGCAGACAGTAGCAAGGTAGCGAACTGAACGACTGTTGTCGACTAAGTCTGCTTGCCGCAGTTCTGTCTTGCTTAGGTACCTCTCACGTTTCACCGCTGTTGTGTTTTCGGTTTTTTTCGATGATTCGTTGATTTCGCGAGGGACTGATCGCAGCAGCCCCTGTCATCGAAGCCCGACCAAGCCAAAAAATCCGAATTGTAGGGTCGGAGTTCCAGAAACCCGGGTTCGGAACTTTAAGTTCCAAACCCAGGGTACCAACAACCCCCTTCAGAACCAATGTAGAACATTGTACAGCTTCATCGGGTCTTTAATCTGAACTAGACATTTGGCTTGGCTCTGCCGCGTTGAGCGCGGTAAGTGAGTTCCCTCGGTGACGAGCTGTGATTTCTGCCTGTCTTCGCATCCTGCATAGGGACCCGTTTGGTGCTTCCTGCCTCCGGCGCAGCTTCTCGCTGCGGGCCGATGCAATGGCTGTTGAACATAAAAAAAGTCGCTCGTTGTGCGACGGGACTGGAATGACGGCCGGAGTCTTCGACTTGGTTCCCTGAGTGCGGTTATTGGTTTGTTCAATTTCTTGTGGGGCTGCAAGAACCGGAATCCCTTCCAGCTTTGCTCGATTTTTTGAGTTCGAAAACAAGATGCGACTTGTGCAAACCCGTGTGTAAGAACTACACTGTGGCTGGACCTGCTTTGACATGGATTCCAGCGAACGGAGCTGGCGGTCAGGAATTGGTTCGGTTGGAAAGGCACGGTTTGGACCTGGTTCGAGTGTTCAGATGTGTTCAACTGGACTGGACGGTGGTTCGTCAAGTGGAACGAATGTGCTGATTTGTGTCATAAAAAACACTAAGACTCATCCTGCAAGCCTGCGAAGCAGAACGTGAGAGTCAACATGCTTGACGTTTCCGTTTGTTTGAAATGGTTTGCTGCACGAATGCTTGGAAGACAGTTTTTGAAAGTGCAATGTGCTTTCAGCGGACTTAAACTTGCAGCTGCAACAAGGTTTGGTCTTCAGCGCTGTGGACATGAAGTCTTTACAGCTCTTATTTGCTAATTGCTGGCACATCACTTTTTGGAGACGGCAAACTACTGGAACATGTAAAACTGAAAAATGACTTGCGTCTGTTTTTTCGGTGCCTGTCACGACATGCACAGGCCTTATAGTAACGCTTCACGTTTCAGTATTCATGGTTTTCTTGTTCGAAGAAAGAAAAACTGCAATCTGAAACGCAGTCGTTATCAAGCAGGTGCTTAAGGTCCAGAAACAACTCCAGCATGCGATCATCGCACAACCGCGAACGTGCGGCGAGAAAGAATGAGTGAAGCTGTTGGGTGTCTCGCATGCTGGAAAAGTCATGTTGACCAATTGTTCTGACTTCGTGTTGACCTCATGTGCTCATCATGTTTCGAAAAGGGTGTCGTCCAACTTTGAGTTTGTTGACAGTTCATACGCACTCCGGGGAAAAAATCTGGGAACCAAGAATACGCGATCGGTTTCGAAGTTTATTCTTCCGTTTTGGTGCTTCCCGCAGTCATGAAGCCGTGTATTGTCCAGAAAGCATTCGGACGGTTTTGGAACCATGCAGCGAACCCGAACTAGAAGAGATTCTCAGGACAGGATTGGTTGTCGCGCCGCTGTTCGCAGGCGTCCTGCTCAAGAAACGCACAGGACCACTCCCGCAGGCTTTGGTGCGGCGCTGAGCCATATCTCAGTAACGAGTGATGCTTCCGTGCAGGTATCCTCTTAAGGAATCGGTGTCGAGTTGATGCATGCCGTTAGAGCCATGTAGAATCGAACGTGTGACGGCTCAAGGGTTCCGTCGAATTTAAAATATTTCCACTTTCCTTCCCTGTCACCTTTTCTATCGGGCAGGGATCCGATGCTCTGTTGGAAGGGCAGTGGCACGGTGAAGGGCCGCATCGACAGCTGCTGACTGACCGATAGCCAGCAGCTTGAAGTCTACGGGACATGCCATTTGCAGCCGGCTGATGCCTGCACTTCCTCATCAGCCGCATCAGAAAGTATGTAATCAGTGGCATGCACAAAGACTTTGATGCTTGGGCGGCATCTGGTGGTTTCAGATTTCTGATTCCTGAGCTTCGTTGGGCTCTTTGGCTTAGGACGAGGCTGATATTCCCGTATCAGCCTTGGCACGACGACCAAGACTTGCATCGGCAGTGCCTCGGCTGACTTGCCTTGATTTGTTTCAGGGTTGTTTCGAATTGGTCGCAGCGGACATACGACTTGTTGTCACGTCTGTGTTCGGCCACAGTTGCACGATACTTCTTTCACTGCATCATAGCAGACTGACCGCGTGGAAGCTTCCATGCTTCGCTTTGGAGAGGTGCTGCGCTCGCTGGCAGCAGCAGGTACGTCTTGGAGCCTGTTGCGCCAGTTGCGGGAGGAGCAGATGGAGGCGGATGTGCTCCTTGGACAGGGAGTTTCGGCACGGCCAGTTAGGGTTTCGAGGCACTAGTGTTCTCCAACGCCGAAGCTTCTCAGGGTGCATTTCTCTTGCATGATTTCTTCGGATTGGTGCCAAGCTCTCTGGCTGCTTGCAGCCGCGGCAGCCACAAATATTTCGCCAAATGCGCAAGCCTCAGTTGAGTTGCTCAGGTGCTGATTTGCACACAGCTTCCATGTGTGGCCTTGCCAGAGGCGATCTTCAACACACGCGTGGTGAAGGTTTGTGCACCTGCCGACTGGCTGTCTGCGGTACAGCTTCTGGGTGCGTCGGTTCAGCGTGAGACTCGTCGTTCAGTTCTGCAGGTACTGGGACCGCCAGACCTGAAGTAGGTAAGTAGAGCAGCAGCATCTTGGGGAACATTGTGCTGCCGCTCTCAGGACACTGTACTCATGAACTGCGCCATGACAGCTTTTGAGCCACATGGCCGGTGGTGGCTAGCGCTTTCGCATTTGCAACACGGCAGCAGTGAAATAATGATGGGTGATGCATTCTGCACCTCGTGCCTTGCTGAGTCTGTTCGGGCTCCGAGGCAAGTGCGTTCTGCCATGTCCTTGACGCCTGATGCAGTGGCCATCAACACGGCGATAAGTTCCTGCGCCTTGTCGCCATGTATCTCCACCGGAAGCTCAAAGAGTGACGCAAAGCAAGTCGCCCGAGGCCCGCGAAGCGTGTGGTCCATTGCCCTGCATCTTTTTGAAGGCGAAGCCGTCATGTGGCAGCTATTTGCAGCTTTGCGCCATACTGTGCAGTTACAGCTACATCTCGCTTTGTATGACTTTGTGCCATAGTTCATGCCGTGCTCTGATTCGCCCAGGCCTTTCAATCGCAGCAGTTGTGAGAGTCGAGACGGCTGTGTGTTGTGAGCCAGTTCCAGTTGAGCAGGCTCCATCGGAGATGTCGTAGCGATCTCCTCGACTGTCGCTGCAGCGGAATGGGTTTTGGCAACGTGGCTTCTGAGTATCCTGGTGAGATTAATGGCTCGCATGGAGAATGGAATCTGGACACCAGCTACAACGTTGCCCGCTGCCATCTAAGGCAAGATGAGGCCGGACGCGCTGCTGCCGAACGTCGTGTGCCAGCTTCCAAGAATCGAAGTGTAACTACCGTATTTCCAATCCAGCTTCCACTGCAGACAGCTCGAAGTCTGACTGTGGGCGGGACGCCGCAAATTCACGGAAGTGCACCTGTGACCAAGGCTTCAATGCCACCTTGCAGGCCACAGACGTGGCCGGACTGCAGACTCCAGAGAGTCAAGGGGAACGTGCCCTAAACGTCTGGGATTCTGGGATGGGCGTCGAGGTCTCAGGCTTGGGCGCACCATGGCAGCGAGCTGCGCGCCTCGTGAGCTCGATGCCGGACTTGGAATTGCTGCCGGAGCGGTGGGAAGGGGTAGGGCCGCGGAGGGCCGGACACTACAGGGGCATGCGTTCTGACTCCTGACTCATCCTCTTCGCACAGGATGTCATCAGCTTTACCTCCTTGCTGCGTGCCTGTGAGAGAGAAGGCCGATGGCGTCTGGCGCTCTCCGTGTTGTGCGTCATGCGCCAGGCCGGAGTAGTCGGAGCATGTCGGAACTTCTCCATTGTTTCTCACCCTCTCGTCGCTTCTCTGTCCCGCTGCAGGTCGCGGTTCTTCCCAGCACGGTGACCTACGGATGCCTTCTCAATGCCTGCGAATTCGCTGGCGCTTGGCAAACTGCCTTCTTGTTGTTGGAGGAGATGATGACAGCGTCGATTCTTGGTTCGAAAGCTGGGCTTCAATGGAATCGTGACAGGGTTAGCTTCCTGAAGATTGCATTGCTGAGGCTGCGGTTGAATATCGTTATCTGCAACACTCTCATCAGCACTTGTGAGAAAGCATGCCAATGGCAATCAGCACTGGCCCTCCTCTTCAATACGCAGCAATCTCAGGCCGTCCAAATTTCGGTGTGGACATGTCCGTGACTGTCCGTGCATGAGCTCTTGGCTAGCAGGTGCAGCCGGACGTGGTCGGAATGAATGCATCGTTGAGTGCATGCGGATGTACAGGTGCCTGGTGCTTGGCATGCACTGAGCATCTGAGCCGATCGACATTTTGATGGGGGAATTTCCGCATTGGAGACAGACAGCAGGCTGTCGCAGTCGTTGCTATTCTGATTCCAGATAGCTGAGAATAGAGTGCTGCGACCACTTTACTAGAAGCGTCTTCGTTTCTTGGGAGACCGCAGCCTTACGAGCATCCCCGTTCGCAGTGGGTCCGAGTAAAGTCTTTTGGCTGGGATCATTCCTCATATGATTCGAGATGGGAACAACCACATTAATTGACAGTGTGACATTGCAGCTGAGGGCTTCGTCGCTGGATCTGCTGCGCAGAATTGATGGACCAGCTCGCACCAGCGTGAGTTTCGCAGGCTCGGGTCCGCACGAAACAGCGTGGGGTTGTTAAAGACGGTGGTTTGTTTTTTTGCTTAGGGGTTTAGTGGTTTCTCAAGGAGTTGGCGCATGTCTGTGGAAACAGGCTCGGTGGCTGCCTGTGCCGCTGGCCGTCAATGGGCGTGGACGGTGCGCCTGCTCGTGGCGACGATGGATAATGCTTTGGCTCCCGATGTCAACAGCCGCGGCGGATAAATCAGTGATCGGTATGTGAACCGGTAGTCATGCGATGGATGGCTTGCCGAATCTGAGCTCATGCGTGTTTCTCAGGCTTTGGCGCTGCTGTGGAGGCTTGCAGTGGACTGGGCCATGATTTCTGGCCCGTGGCATTTCTCGATGAATTGCAGCTCATGGTCGCTTTGCAGTTGTCGGCAAGCAAGTGACGGGGCATCACAGGCGATCTTGTACAGGTTTTTGGCTGAAGTGCTCTTTTTCAGATGTTCACTGCGTGACAAAGCGCCCGCTCCAGAGACTGAGAAGGCAGCAGGTCGCTTAAGCGGCCAGGAACTGCAAGCTTGGACTTGTTGCAGATAGTTGTCAAAGCATTTCCACTTCCAGCAAGGTGGTTGCTGTCTGCGAGAGAACACTGCTCAAGCACGCCATGGGGTCCACCCCTTGTGTGCACCTGCATTGCTGGTGCACCATGCCATCACTATGCCGCCGTCCACGCTGCAAGCCTTCGTCACATTGAGATGCATCCTGGTTGCTACGATTGGAAGCTGCAGCTGAGGCTTGGCTTCGTGATTTTATGAAAGCTAGCTGGGGAGGAGTGTACACGGAGAGAGTCCACAGACCCTTGGTCAAGTTTCTCGGGGACTGCAGGCTAGCACTGCCAAGAGACACTGGTAATCCTCTATTTGTATCTGTCGTCACCGGTCCCGTGCGGGGTGACTTGCCCCTTTTAATCGCTGCTGTTCTTCGACCTGGTTGCTTTGGGTCTGAGATCCTTTCTCTCTCATCCCTCTACGGCGTTGCGGTTGATTTCAGTATGCTGGCTTGCTCCTCTCAGCAAGCTGTTGGCCGGACCTTGGACATATCACCGACACTGCCTTGCCCGCCTTCCGGTTCTTGGGATTCTTGGGCAGGGCAGAGATAGAGTGTAGTGTAGAGTGCCGCAAGTGCGATCGCTGAAACATTCACAGAAGTACTTAGGAAACAGCTGGTGCAGTTGAAGCCTTTGCCTGGGCTTGCAGAGGCTGGAGTGTTTCAGTGCCAGCATGCGATGACATCGGCAGTGGAAACTTCTTGCGAGTTTCAGACAACACGGGACCATTCGCTGCAATAGCATTAGAATCGCTTAGTGTACGGACTCATAGCGAGTTTAGCAAGACTTCAGAAACTCGGTACCAGACTCTACCAGCCCCCTATACAACAACTCTACACCAAGAACCCCACACCCAAGAACACTCCAAAATTAGAGCCGCTTTTACAGGTACAGAGAGTTTTGGGAGAAGCTCTGGCTTGGAAGTCGGAGCCGCGCGTGGTGACCGCAGTGTTGAGCGCTTTGGCCAAGGCCGGCCCGAAGCCGAACAAAGACCGAAGGATCAGGTCAAAGCGTACATATACGTATACTACTATATTTACATATGTTTGTATGTATGTATATTGGTATATAAAACGATTATAACATGCATAAATACATATATACATATAGATAATGATAGAAAGATAGACAGATAGATAGATGAAGGTGTGAATAGCAGCTCTTGCTCCCTCTCCCTCTCTCTCTCTTTCTCTCCATCGGCTTCTCTGGTAAACGTGCACATACGAATATGTGTGTGTGTGTGTATGTCTATAGCACGTATCATGCATGTCATCAACAGATATGACATGACATGATATGACATGACATGCCATGGTTTTTATGTTGTGGTAGCGTATGCGATGGTATGCTCGGAAACTTCAAGAGATTGTATGTGATGATATGCTTTGATATAATAATGCCGTGGTATGGTTTGACCTGTCATGATATGATGTGGTTCGTATGGTATGATATGATATGATCGGATGTGCAATGGTAGCGGCAGGTCCATAGCAAGCAGCAGTCAGCAGTCTCAAGGGACAGTAAGGTTACGTTAATACCCGAAGCCAGCCGAGCAGAAATTTGTTTGTGCCACGCCAGTGGAAGCCTCCAACTCTGAGTCGGTTGTTCTGTGCGCTTGCATGCAGGTTCAGCGCTGGGATGTCGCTACGCGAGTTTTGCAGGCATGCGAGCAGTTTCCATTTTGGCCAGAAGAGTACAAGACGGTATTTGACACCAACATGATGACGTTTAAGCTAGGGAGGATGCTGTGATGTGTAGACTCAGACGGTTGATGACAGCAGGTGATGCGCAGCTGCACGGTCCCCTGGAGGCACTGTACATATCTCGGAACTTCCGGCACATGGCTGCATAGTCCGAAGTCGTGCCAACTGGACCAAGGTCGAGACCAATGTGTTTCACTTCAGTTCTGCCGTTGCTGCCTGCGAGAAGGGGAAAGCATGGCATCTGGCGATAGATATTCTTGAAGGCATGTCTCAGGCCTGCCGACTCATGCGAAGGAGTTCGTATCTGGCCTTATTCATGCACCAAGCGATCGCAGGTTGGGATCTTGCCGAACGAGGTGACTTTCAATAGAGTCTTGGACTGCTTTGGATTTCGGTCTGCCTGCACGCTGTTGCTTCGTGCGGCTGATGTCAGTGCTGTGATGAGATTTGCGAAGCTCAGGTGCCATCGGCGCATGTGAAGGCTCGTCGTGGGCGACAGCAATACACCTGCTCGATGGGAATCCTGGCCTGCACTTGAGCACTTCATCAGATCACGGTAGCAAGGCACTTCGTCTTACATTCTGACACAGCTTAGGATGCACGGGGTACTGAGCGGCAGCAAGACCAGCTTTCCGGCGTTTTCATGGAGCAGGGCTGTGTAGTCATTGCAGACGTTGTCGTGGGTTTCTGTGCCACGTCGCGTGGTGTGCTCTGCATATCCAAGGCTGCAACGTATGCATGAATGCCTGCTGGCGGGTGTGGCACGTGGCACTCAGCTTTCTCAGGCAGTTCAGATGTCTCGAAATACTGGTGTGGGACTGCATGTTTGAGTTGATGGGTTGGGTTCGTTGAAGAGGTGAATCCTGCACAGGTCAATGGCAGAATACGGGGTTCTGGCAGATGTGGTCAGCTGCAGCTGCGCTATTCATGCCGACGCTCGGCGTCATGTGCGGCCTGTAGCCACAAGTGTCGGCATGCTCACAGATGCTCGCTTTGGTTGCGATTTGCTTTGAGGGGAGCCCCTGGGATGTAGCCTTTCATCTCCTTGGGCAGACGGCAAGCGATCCGATTGCATTCAGTGCGGCCTTGGCGACTCGGGGACCCTGGGTTTACGCTCTGGAGCTCTTCGAAAATCTCCGTTTCCTCCGACTTCGGCTCGATGCCGTGCTCTGCCACCACGTAGCAACCGCCTGCCGAGAGACCGGAAGCAGGCAGGCCGGGTAGGTCGACCGGATGATTGTGAGGTGACTGCCATGTGACTTCCAAGACAAGTGAAACCCTCGAGGCACGTATCACTCTCAAGATACTACACGTTCCACGGCTACAGTCCGGAATGCACGTTTTCTGCAGTTTTTTTAACTCGAACTGCATTGTCCCATAGTTTCCCAGGTCTTTTTGAACACGAGACACGTTTGAGTATGCACATCGTGCACGGACCGGTGCCGCGATTCTCGCCGTACCAGTGTGCTCATCTCGAACCTATTACGTGGACCGAGTTCTTTTCGGTGCTGTTGGTTTTCCAGGGTGAAACATCACACATCCTCCTATGCTCAATAGCAGTATGGGCAGTCTTTCAGGTTTTGCAGGTGGTTCGGGGCCTCTTCCACTGCTTCGCTTCCACCAACAGGTTTAGCATGAGTACCTCGGCATGCCAGATGATGCTGGGCATCCGACGAGTTTCCACTTGACATGTGATTGTGCAGGGTTGGCAGTTGGCTGCATGCCGTGCACATCTGCCACTCCATGAGCGACATGGCCCTCCTGAAAAATGCGGTCACTTACAACTGTTTCTTTGCCGGCAAGCAAGGCCAAGACACTTTCGTGTCATGTCTGACTGTGTCAGCATAAGGTTCCATGGTCGCTTGTGCGGATGGTGGAGACTCTCAGCTGGCAGCAAGGCTTCTTCAACAGATGCTGAAGGCAAGGGCACACGGTCTCAATCTACACGTGTCACACTGATCCGAGACATTGAGCTTGTCTTGTAGACCTTCTGCGCTGCCGACTTGCAGGCTCATCTTCGGGCCAGTCTATTCAGCTACAACAGCCTGCAGCTTGCCTGTGTTTGTTACAGTAAGTTTGTTGCTGGCCGCTGCTAAAACCAACGAGGGTGAACTACTTGCTGCATATCTAGTTTCGGCAATACTGTTCTGCACTGAGAACGGATCTGGGCCCGAGCACAGCAGTTTCTGAACCATAGCTGTTGCCGCGACCCTGCTTAATGAGGCTTTCAGTAGAGCTGGCTTCTTGCTTCTGGCCTTGGCTTGTGGTAATGGCTTGCCACAGGGTCTGGCATTTCAGTTCGTCGGGATCATGCTCGGTGGAAGGAGTGCAGGGGAGATAAGCGACGGAAACAGAATCAGGCGGAGTCGACCATTTTCCTGGTGTGGAAAACTGTTGTGAAATCCGGCTGAGGGTCTTTGCCCACCAGAAATGCGCTGCCTGGGAGAAGTCAATGGACCTGCTGGCAGAGATCTCGCAGGCACGGATAGTGTGGGGCATCAAGCTCCGAATGCCCAGTACAGTACGTTACGTTGTCGTCAGGTTTCCATCCAGGCAAATGCGATGAGCTTCTCTAGTGCCCACAGCCCAGCTGCACGGACCGGAGCCTGGGGAAGTGGGGGGCGGTTCTCAAAGGCCGTCGTCCCCTCGAGGCCGGTCGCTGGACGGTGTCTCTGGAGCTGCTGAAGCACATGCTCCTTGGCTTTGCAGCAGCCCGCCGTGTGGACACAATATAAGCTCTCGGGCTGAGGCATTCCAAGCAGTTGAGGAGGGATTCCGTCAACTGGAGCCTGGCGGCAGCCAGCTGTGATCAGGCGAGATGCTGAGCTGGTTTGCCTGTGCATTGAAGGTGTGCCTTGAACAGGCAGCCACGTAAGCTTAGGTCTCTGCCTGGAAGTCAGCACTGCGACTGTGTCAAGGAGGTCAGACCCCTGCTGTGATTTCTTCGGTCTTCTTCGCTTCTTGGATGCCTTGTCTTGTGAAGGACCTGCTGCGGAGATCTGCAGCGCTGCAATCACTTCGTGTGAGAAGCAAAGTCGCTGGAGGCCACCCGCGGGGTGGAACCTAGGTCCTTCGTGAGGGTTCGGACGGATGCAGAAACAGGATTATTTGTGAGGGCTGACAGAGCCGACTGCTCAACGTCAAGTCCGAGCTGAGGCATGCGGTGGAACTCCTCCGGCTCACAGAGTCGGACATGATCAGCTCATCGGCTGCAGCTGTCGATTTAGTTGTGCCCCGTAGGTGTCGTGCAGTCTACAATGAAGTCGCGGGTCGGTGCAGGTTTTGGAGCTGCGATCGCTGCCTGCACAAATGCTGTCCGACAACGGTCCATCTTTTCTTGGGGACGACAACGTATGGCGCAAAGCTGATCAGATCAGCGACCTGGGGAACATGGCATCCAGCCTCAGACCGCTCCGCCAGTGGTGAGAAAAAGCGTTGCAATTGTGAGCCGAAACAGATTCCACGTGCTTCCGAGAGAGTGAAGTTTTGCGCTTGCATGCTGAGGCCCATTAGAATGTTTGGCCGTGTGTCTCGCAGCGTGCGCCCTCGTCGCCCGACTTGTGCTTTGAGACCTCGAGACAGAAGAGAGCGACTGGGGGAGGGGGAGGTGCACAACTGGAAGAAGCCGCGGTCATGCATCAAAAGCCGAACAATCTCGCTAGAGATTGCCTTCCAGCCCGCTCAGCCAATGCATCCGAATTTGGGCTAACAGAATCTCTCAAGCTTCGCACATACTGTCCAGAACGGGTCAGGCCAAGGCTTGAACCATTTTGAACCCAGCTGCTATAACTTTCTTCAATGATAGCAGTTGCACAAAGCAAATGGCAGATGAGTTCACGTAGTCTTTAAATTCTATATCGAAACGTCTTAACAAATAGAAGCTAACCATTCAGAGGACGTCCGAGAAGAGCGCAGACAAAGCTGCAAGAAGCAGACACATTTGCCATGAAATTACTGCAGTACACATTTTCAGCTGGACTTCGGCAGAGCATCTGGCATCATTAAGAACTATGCCGTATTTCAGTCTCGTCGGCTGTTTTGTTCCTCAACACCTCTGAATGGTGGAAATAGGTGTGCTGTGGACGTCCGGAAAGCAAGATCAGTAAAAAGGGACGGAGTGGAGAGCGACCGTTTGATACTTCTTGCCAACCATGATGATGATCATCGTTGCCATTGATACTTCTCTTTCTCATCCTGAGAAAGAGAGAGCTCGCCAGGTCTGGCCCGACATGTCTCGCAGATTTTGGCCGAGCCCATGGCCTGGAATCAGGCGCACGTAAGTCCCAAACAACCCATCGGCACCGGACTTCATGAGCTCGGGGTTGAGGGTTGAGGAACTGTAGGGGTTTAGGCTTTGAGTTGGGGTGCTAGGGATTTAGGTTTGAGGCTTTCGGGCCTTTAGTGCGAACGGACTACGATGCCTTGTCAAGTTCTAAGGTGTCACTATAAGAGCTGTGAGCAAGACCGTGTAAAGTGCAGGAGAAGGGGGCACGCTACGCGTCCCTCGACTCTAGGGGGCATGCTACGCATCCCTCGTCTTTACCTTTCTATGTGACCGCCAACGCAACGTTTGGCTCAAGTCAATGCCCATAGCTAAGTGCTATATGTGTCTTCTATCCTGAGCAATCAGAGCTATCCCGTTGCACAGACGAACCGCCGCCGGCAGTGAGTGCAAAAGGAACGGCCGCCGGTTCTGCCTGCATAGGATCGCACGTGTGGAAGTACGAGAGAGAGACAGGGTCCAGTCTGTGGAGAGTGCTAGCCAGCCACACCTACATTCATTACAGCTCTGGTGGGGAGAGCAGCAACCAAGTCGAGATCAATCCCCCACGCAGGTTATCAGCCGTACGCGGCTCTGCCTTTCTACAGCAACGACTACTTGATCTACTACGACCACAATGAACTCAGGATCAAGTCAAGATACGACAATGACTTTCGGTGCCGATGTGGCAGCGCCAGCCGTTGGTGAGTCAACAGCTGATGACACAGTGGTGCAATCCGTTGATAGCTCCACGGAAGATGACAAAGGTCAATCTTCTGCGCTTGCCATTGCAAAGGCAGTTCCCAAGGGGAAAGCAAAGAGTCTACCAAGAGCATCTACGCCTTCACGTCCGACATCCACAGGTTCGAGGACGGGCAAGGCTTCAGAACGACGGGCCGAAGCGTCTGGTTTTCAGGCACCTCGGACTACGTCCAGGGCTAAGGACAAAGGAGTCAAGACCTTGGAGAAGAAGTCAAGACCATCATCTTCGAGAAGCTCTTCAGCACGATCGAGGACTTCGGCTACTCGTGGGCGTGACAAGTCCATGACTTGGAATCGGATGGTTACCAATCAACCACGCGATTCTGACGATCTGGACATGACTCTGGATACGATTCCTGCACGTGGTGATGCGTCATCCGTGGCCACGCCTGCAATAGCTGATGGTCCGAATGCCTACCAGGAACTGACGATTTCGCAACAGTTCGAAGCATCGAACCTTGCACAGCAGATGTACTATCGCAGTCAGGTGCAAGAATACGAAGGAATCGTCCAGACCCTGATGGACAAGATCAAGGAGATGCAGCAAGAAGATGAAGGATCTGGAATTCGCATTGAAGAATTGGAACGACAACGTGATCATGCATGCTTAGCCATGAGGCACATCAACAATGTCAATCAGGAGATGAAGCGAGACTATGAAACAGCTTTGTTTCGCATGGATGAGCAGAACTCTGCTCAACAACGTCAAGCACATGCCGTTGCCGAGGAGTTAGCTCAACAGCTACACGTGTTCCGCACGGAGGCAGCCACCAACTTTGTGCAGTTGGAGGCAAGAGCGCAAGGTGATGGTGAGCTTATGGCACGTGAGTATGAGCGTCTGACTCATGAACTTCATGAACACGCCAGAGAGAACTTGGTCCTCCGATCAAACACAGCAAGTTCGGAACAAGCCTTACAAGCAATGCAGGAACGCTTCCACTTGGTCAAGAACCAGGAGTTGCGGGCCGTAAACGAGATCCAAGGGCTAGCTGGGAACAGCGCAGCCATTGAACAAGAACGATTTCGGCTTCGTGAACGTCTTGGTGAAGAGGAAGAGTACCGCAGAATGGCTGTGAAGAGGATGCAAGAAGCAGAGGAACGACTTCATCAGAATGAAGATCATGCAAGGCGATCATTGCCTACCTTGCACGACGAGCTGAGTGAACTCAGGAAAACGCTCAAAGCACAAGAAGATCTTCAAGCGAGGACACGCAGCGAATTGGAGGCAGCGCGAAACTCTAATCAAAGGGAAGCGACGCGACCTTCGAGCATGCCCATGTCTTCGAGGACTACTGAGTCTGGCTGGGAGCACGTAGGAAAGGATGTAATGCCTGCATTTTCCGTAGGAGATGAGGTACGATCCCCTGAAATACGGTCCCCAAGTCAAGTTAGTCCAGTCGCCAAAGAGAAGTTCGCATTCTCGGAATCTGACAAGGACAAGAACCTTGTGATGGACGGAATTCCATTCACCGGTGGAAACTTTTTCACTGGCCGCAGTTCAATGCCAATCGTGGCGGATGCAATGCCCGAGCACCACGTGCCAGGTATTAGCAGCCCAGCGCTTGCGCGTTCCACGCCTAGTGCAGCCACTTTGTTTGGCATACCAAGCGGATTTCATGGGAAAAGTGATGCGGCAGCCGTGCGTGATCGACAGCTACGCGAACTCTTGGGGGATCGCGGGATGTTGGGATCGAAGTCCACAGCATCGGCCAGCTCCTCAAGACCTGTTGGCATCGACGGTGTCACCGCATCTACGAAGGGCAACGACCTCATTGGTCCCCCTGTCGCCTATGACGATTCCATCCATGAGGCAAGGAGGCGTCAGATCGAGAAAGAGATCGCGGAACAGTACGAAGAGAAGATTGCTGATCTGCGAAGTGAAGTACTCAAGGCTCAGAAAGCCGAACAACGTCTCAGAGCTGATCGTGATGAGTGGAGATTATTCGCTGAAACGATTCAAGAGAACAATGGAGACGATGACGGTGATGAAGCTGGCGACGAGAACGGAGAGGAAGAGCATGATGAAGGTACCGGCACGGGGTATGATCCTCCAGATCCGCCTGACGACGATGATGACAAGAAGAAAGGTGGAGGGGGCAAACCCGAATCGGATCCTGGTTCGCATGCGCGTGATCCTGATGGAGATGCGGATCCTGAAGTTACAGAGGTGAGAATTTCCAGGAGGGAAGCCGACAAAGTGACCGTTCCTCCATGGCCTACTCTCACTCATCTCAACAACTGGCGATCTGTGTGCACGGCAAATGTCTTAGGGGCATCAGCCGACCCACATCATGAGGACTGGATGTTATGGCTGGCACCAGCGTTCAACCCATTCCCTGATGTCGAAGCATTGAATGATTCAGGACACAAGAAGTTCAAGAGCATCGACGTCAAATTGGGGATCGCCATGGTAGCAATGCTACGTGCCGGTGGTGACAAATCAGCTGACCTGTACCTCGAGGTGAACCGGAAGGCCAACGATTACATCAGCAGGCCTGACGTGAAGATCATCAAAGGACGACAAGTCATCGCGATGATGTACGAAAGTTTTCGAACACATGATCGTCTCGACATGATCATCACTCTTGAGTATTTGGTGAAGCTCCAGTATCAAGGTGACAACAAGCTTCACACGTTCAAGCAGACATGGTTGGAAGTTCTAGGACGGATGAGACCAGAGGACATTCCATCCAAAACAGCTCTCCGTGATTGCTTGTACAGCAAGATCAAGGACTCGCCCGCAATGAAAATGGACTTGGGCATGCACTATGAACACTTGCCCTACAATCATGAAGACCGATCGTACGACAACCTGATGAAGATCATTGATCGTACCATCATGCGGAAACGAGAACAGTCAAATCTCACTCAGACTCAAATTGGCTTGCGCCAGATGCTTGAGGGCAAGGATTTGCTTGCTGCACCGGCCAAGGTACCTGAGAAACCTACGCCTAACGCAGCTCCATCCGCAAAGGTTAAGGCTTCGCCGACCAAGCCGGACAAAGCAACGCCTGTACTACCTCAAAGCAAAGCGAAGAGTCATGCGAAGACCAAGCCGAAGCCCAAGAAGAAGACGAGGAGTGAGTCAGCGGACAACAGAGGTGACAAAAGCAAGAAGCAAATCCGCTGCAAGTTCCATTTCACAGATGCAGGGTGTCGAAATGGCGATAAGTGTCCATTCAGTCACTCGAAGAAGACTCCAGAACGACCCTTCACGCCGAGGACGAGAACTCCAAGTCCATCTGGAGGAGGAGGAAACAGGATATGCTACTCGTTCAAGAACACAGGCTCGTGCTCAAGAGAGAATTGTCCTTTCAAGCATGAGGCAGCAGCTACCCCAGCTCC